ACTAATCGTTCTGTGAGGCAGCAGGAACACCACTGGTGTTCCCTATGATCCTTAACACTAGTGAAGAAACCATTGGGGAAACGCCTCAATGTACAGCATTAACGACGAGGATCACAGCACCAGCATTGACGCACGTGTGCCGTATATATGTACTGTACAAGCAGTATCGAAGCTACCGAGGTAGGCTCATATGCGTACGATGGTCTAAAAGCCTGATCGCATCAGGAAGGCCTCTCAAAAGAGCTTAATGTAACTTAACCCTTATCAGAATATCTACTGTAACTGTCCATGATGCCGACAGAGAGTTACGTGCTTTTGGCGGCTATCCTATCGGTATGAGTCCGCAGAACGTTGCATACGATGAAAAGGGATATATATATGTAGGAAATTGCCATTCTGGTTTAGCTTCTGCTCAACATCGACTCACTTGTTCTTTACCCGTTTTCATCTGTGAAAAGGAAGTTTCCAGAAAGGCAACAATAGCATCAATGCCCTCCAGTTCCCTTATCCAGTGTCCTCTATTATCCATTCCGGAGTGTTCAACCCAATCCACATAAATTCCGATCTTTGTTCGATTTTAGAGAACCCGTCGACCGAGCTCAATATCAATTCACGCATCGTCCATTCCATACAGTATAGAATGAGTGTTGACAACATTCTCTCAATATCGGCTGGTTTAGTGCCGTGAGATTCCTCACATCCGACGAGATGAGGGGACATTCTGAGACCATCAATTTCACCTTTGTTCCACAAGCGACGTCTTCAGGCGGGGCATTTTGTTAAAAGTCTTCCTCGTCGGCCACGTTCGCAAATGAAAGCCACCCCACATTCCAAGAACACCCAAATCCACCCAATACCCCCCTTGATATGGCCGGATGAACGTAGGAATAGCAACCGATGCCCATAACGTCGACGTCATGCTCCTACTTGGCCCTTCAAGGATGGCCTTTTCAGGCTTCCCAACGAGAAGCTCAATCCTCCCTTCTCCTCCTCCCCCCCTTCTTCCGAGTCTACGGGACATAGAGCGTGGATTCTTGCAAACCATCATCCACCAGAATATCGTTTTGTTCTTCGTCACTGGAATTTTGCCAGCGAACGCACTTAGAACCAAGCTCTCAAGTCTTCTTTGAACGCGCAATTCCACCGATCTCCGGATGTGTGTAACACCCATCAACATGCAGGATAGCGTGTTGCGAAGCTCTTGTTGGTGGAGGATTTGGTATCGAAAAACTCTTCTCCAAATTCGGGCTGTTAACTGTCACGCCCGTAGAAGAGGATGACTGTATTTGCATGTTTTGCATTTGGTTCGACGATATGGGGTGCAAAAAATGCCATTTTCTCGTCGGTGCCGTTTATCCCACGATCCTTTGCAGGCGGCGGACTTGAAGTAGGATTTTGGGAAATAGCCAATGCAGAGGATCAGTATTTCTATAAATTTCCTGGGTCTTTGTAACATATAACATTGTTAGATATTGTGGAAGAGTGTGGGTGGTTGAATCGTCCAGCTTGACGTCAGCGAACGAGTCGTCGTCCAGTAATAGAAAAAAATATGTATTGGGCGGAGGACCCAGCAAGTGCCTTCTTTCTTTTCTTTTCCTTTTTTCATCCTTTAGGAGCTTAAGTTCAAGCATTGATACCCATTCAACCCACTTGACTGTTGTAGAGCCCTCTCTCTGCCTCAGAATAGCCTTTCTGCCCCTGGGAACACCCGACTAATCGGGTTTAGTGCCTTTCGCAGCCAGCTTTGACATCCTACTTCGCGCTAATGCCGATCCGGCCAAGCGCCATTTTTTTTCCGCATCAACTTTTTTTTCACACTCGCAAAACAATCCAAGCCCCGGTAGGACAATGCGTTGGGAGAGCGAGGAAGAGAGAGATAGAGAGAACGATATAATTTCACCGTGCGGGCGGATTTTGCTGTCCATCCCATCCTATCGCTCCGGTCCAACTTCCCGGCAAATTGGCATCCGTCCTCCTCTTCAACATCTTCAGACAGCAGACTCCGCTCCTCCCTCCTTGCCATTTCCTCTCCGCTCCATTATTAACTAACTCCTTGCCGCGTTCACCCTCAACATATCTAACACCAAACCATGGGGATAAAAAAGGGCTCAAGAGGCCCCGTCTCTAAAATCTCCTCAGCCGCAGCCCCCTCAGCATCCCCTCCCACCCTCTCTGCAAATAAATCTTCCATCCTCCGCTCAGCATTCTCCCCATCCGAGTATCAGCTGGCGCTCTTTGCATCCGTCATCCAGGGTCTTGACTCCCAGCACCTCCGCGTCCACGAGATCGGTTCCGGGTGTCTGCAATGCGAGCATGCCGTGAATCCAAGGGAAGCCATCACCTCGCTAGATTGGGGCTTCTATGGCGATTCTCACCACCGAGATCGCGATCAACATATGAAGAAGAAGCGCAAGCGCGGGTCATCCGGTGTAAATGGCATCGCTACTGCTGATGGCGGGAATTCGGGCAATGTGGTTATTGCGTTTGGTACCAGTACGTCTGATATTCGAATGTACTCGCCAGCCGAGGATAGGATTGTTGGAACGCTTTCGGGCGGGCATGAGAAGGGTATTAGAGATTTCAAGTTCACGGTGAACACTCCCGCGGCTGAGGGGTGGAGTATTGGTGGTGATGGGAAGCTTGTACAGTGGGATCTAAAAGCTGGCCGAAGTATACGGTAGGCTTGCTTAATTCCTCTTCTTCCTTTTTGCACCTCCCTCCCATTCTACCTAATCGAATTTCGTTTCGTTTTGTCTAACGACGTCTTATTTTCTCCAGGGTTATTTCTCTACCATCAGCTTCTGTCTCCGCTCTCGCGCGGCCCGTTCCGTCGAATCCTCCCATTCTTTGCGCCTCTCAAACGCCCTATCTAATAGGCCTCGAGCAGGATGGCATTGACGGCGTGGTTTCATTTAGTGCTATGAAAAATTCCATACATACACTAATTCCCTCTTCCACAGATATGGGCAATCTCTCAGAGCAATTCCTTGCTTCTGATTCCGACCGTTATATCAACATTTTTGATTTGCAAAAACAGAAAATCTCAAATACGCTAGTCGCTGGGAGCGAAATTGAATGCTTGGCGTTTTATCCGGCCTCTCGGAAAGGTGGCCACGCGGAAAAGAATAAGAAATCTACAAGGTCGAATCAGTTGCAAAAACAGCTTCTTGCTGCAATCACGCATAATGGTGTTGTTGAACTTTTTCCTAAACCCTTTCACCAAGTCGAGTCCCTCGGTTCCGCGCACAGTCTGAAACCGCGGGGGAAAGCAATGACACGCCGTGCGGAAGCTGTGATTAAGATCGTCAGACCCGATAAGTCTCGAACGGCGGTACCTGCCGTTTCGGTTAGTTTCCAGGGCCCGGATCTAGTCGTTGCGTGGGTCGAAGGCGGTGTCAACTTGGTATTTGAAAGGATACGCTGGCAAGACGAGGATACAGAAGAACTTATGTTTCAGGGGGAAAAGGAAATCGTGCGTGGCAAGTCGATATCTATGCTCAGATCCACAATGATGAACGGAGTCAAGCATGTTGGCAGGACACAAGTAGATGAGTCGCATACAGTTGTGGAACAAGGCGGGGCTGCAGAAAACATTCCCCTGGAAGACGAGAGTGAGAAACAGAAAGACAACAACATATCGAACCCCAGTGATGATGACGAAGAAGACTCCAATGAAGAGGATGTAGAAGACGAAATGGAAGCGGAAAGGGAAGAAGCAGAAACGCCCAAAAAGGCATCAGCGTCAGCAACATCCCATACGCAGCAGGAAGACATCAACATGATGGATGCCGACGCAGAAGAAGGCGGCGAGCCCTCCTTCGGCGAACTCGTCCGCGCCCATGCTGCTGAACCCATCGACGTCGAAGCGGAGCTGGATGACGCGGACGCAGACGCAGACGCAGACGCACACACCCGCGCCCTATCCTCAACAGCCAATAAGCCCAACACCACCCTCCAGCTCCCCGCTGGCATCTCCCTCGCTACCGTCCTCTCCCAAGCCCTCAAAACAAGCGACAACACCCTCCTCGAATCCTGCTTCCACACCACAGACATGAACATCGTCCGCGCCACGATCCAGCGCATGGACTCGTCTCTCGCCGCCACCTTGCTCCAGAAGCTCGCTGAGCGTCTCTCCACCCGCCCTGGACGCTACGGCCACCTTCTCGTCTGGGTGCAGTGGACCTGCATCGCCCATGGCGGCTCGATCGCGGGGAGGCCGGATGTGCTTCGAAAAATGACTGCGCTGTTCAAGGTTATGGACCAGCGGTCGGCGAGCTTGTCGTCGCTTCTGTTGCTCAAAGGGAAACTCGATATGCTTGATGCGCAGCTGGGGCTTAGGCGGAACCTGCAGCGGGCTGCTGGTGCTGGTAGTCGTGGCCGTGGGAGTCATGGTACGGGCGTGCCGGGTTCTGAGGAAGATGATGAGGAGGAGGACGTCATTTATGTTGAAGGTGAGGAAGATTTGGTGGATAGCGGGGACGAAGAAAGCGGTGATGTCCGGCGCGTTAAAGGCTCTGCTGCCGCTATTGGTGTGGCTGCAACTGCCGCGAAACGAGGCGTAGTCGGTGAGGATTTCAGCGACGGAGCGGAGGATGAGGAAGATGAGGATATGCCCCTAGCACTTACCGGGGTGGCGTCTGGAGATGATGAGGAGGATGAGGATAAGGATGGCGAAGAGGAAGGGAGTGAAGATGAGGAGGTGGAGCTGTTCGATGACGAGGCGGATGAGTCTGAGGATGGAAAAGGGGCTGATGAGGAAGAGGACGACGAAGAAGAGGATGAGGATGAAGATGAAGGAAGTAGTATGGCGGACTTTATAGCGGGTTCTGAGGAGGATGAATCTGTCGACGACGACGACGACGAGCCCGCCCCTGTGCCGTCGTCGTCGTCGTCGTTGTCGAAAAGGGTCAAGTCAAAATTGGTAAAATCGCGGAGATAGATGTATAGAGCCATTTTTTCCCTCTTGAAAATTCTCCCTTTTGTTTTTCTTTCTTGCCTTCCACGTTTTATTTTCCCATTTCTTTATTTTTGCAATTTTTTTTTTTTTTTTTTTTTTTTTTTTTTTTTGGGTTTTCTCAAACAGCGGTATATTAAAATTTGGCTTTTTTGATGTATGCCAGCAGTGACTCTCTCGCATTTGCATGCATGTATGTACCTGGTCTCTTGGTTCGTTTAGTATTTATTCTCTAATCTCCGGATATGAGATTTCAGCTTAAAGATATTTTCGATATAAATCCTAGTGTAAATCTGAATCTACACATCTGTTTTCAATTCTCCTGTTCCGGGAAAATAAGTACAGTATATCAAATCAAATTGTTCACCACGCCGGTTGGCAAATACTAGCCAAAATGAGGAAAATAAGGAAACCTTCCTGAAAACCAATAAAGATAACATTGATTCCATATCACTAGCTATAGCTTAGGTTCAAAGAAACGAAACTAATAATGTTGATAAAATAGGCCACAAGAGAACGCTGCAGCTTAGAACAGGCTAGGCTTGCCAAACAGAGCCGGCCTAAGAAATGTTCAACTTCCTAGGCCTGTAAGTAAGAAAAAGTGAGAGAAAGAATTGATAGCGCTTAGACACGACCTAAAATGTATTGGGAAATTATCTAATAACCTCGCTCCCTTCCCGTTCAATCCCTTCCAAGCTTTCCAAGATAGCACTCCCACCCAACTGGCCAGTGGCTCCAGCCGTACTCTTCCGCGGCCCACTCCACACCTCATGGAATTTGACGCATTCATCGCTAGAGGCGACTATGATGCATCCTTCCTCCGCAGTACGGGACCACCATGTACCCCCTTCCCGATACGCGACCCGGGGCCTTGTAGTACTATTTATGGAAGACTCGGGGGAAATAGATCGATTGGAACTGGTTCCCATTGCGGGGTTTGGCAGTGCCGCTACAACTGTAGAGATGGACGATGATGTCGATGGCACACGCTCCTCCCCACCCGTGTGTGCTATATCATTGGGACCTCCGGGGTAGCTGATCGCCCACAAAGCACGGCCGCAATCGAATGAATTGTCAGAGTCGGTGCTCCCAGGTTCGCTATCAGAAATTGGGTTCCAGGGGATGGCTACAACTTCCTGGCAACTGGGCCATGCAAA